AAGCGGAATGCCAAAGTTGTAAATAAATGGTCTTCGGATTAGGCCAACATTGATCATAAGTGATCGATGTGGATGATTGATGTAGACTTCTGGTGCTTGGCATCGGTCACTTGATGATCGGTGTGGATGATCGATGCTGAGATCAGGTCCTCTCGGGTCCATTAAACCGTACGATGCTGATGATCGATGTGGTTGTCCTGTGTCTTCACACCGTGCTAATCTGACTGATGCTAGTGATCGATGTAAACTCTGTTCTTCTCTGCTTCACTACATCGTATGATGTGGACGTCACAGTGATCGATGCTAGGCCAAATTTCCAATTTCTTCGTTCTTCTTGCTCCTCATTGATTGGAGGAACTCCCTGGATCATTCTCACACCTCCTTCTTGACTTTAATGGCTCTTTAGGTACCTAGAAACATCCCTTATGCAAAGAAAATACAAACTACAACCTAAATGCAAGCTAAGTCTAAAGACAAAGAAGAATGGAACAAAAGGAAAGGAAAACATGTGAAAGGGAACTAAAACATGAATCAAATGCAGGCTTATATGATGTAATTATGAGAGATATCAGGCGACCGGAAAAGAGAAGAGAAAAGAGTTCTAGGGTTCTCAGTTCTCTGGAAGTTTAGAATGAAGAAAAAGAATGGGAGAGACTCTCTATTTATATCCAATGGGAGACTTGGGTAAAAAGTAAAGATAACCACGAAAAAGGAAATGATTATTATGAACGAGAATATTCACAAATATTTTTAGGAATAGGTTCATTAATATCATATTAAAAATGTAATATTATCCAAACCAGGAATACTTATCTCTCGAAAGAAAAATAAAATATCAAGAAATGGGAATTGGGCCTTAAACACTTTTAGTTCGGGATTAAATTTTCCAAACGGGCCTGGTTTGAAAAACCGGGTCGTTACAATTCTCTCTCCCTTAACGAGAATTCATCCCAAATTCTAAGGCATGAAACTCCTCGGCCGGCGTAAGGCAATGAGGAAGAGTTGGAAGTAATACCAAAGAAGGCTAATGCGAAATGTTCATAGAATAGAATATTCGAAAACAATCATTTCTAAGAAACTAAACTTTTATTAAAATAAATCAATCAATCAATCAATCAACACAGAACCGAGCTCTTAATTTAATGCATAAAATAAAACTAAGTTAATTTCTAAGATGAATCTCTCCCCCCCCCAACATCCCTCAACACCCCAAAGCGCAGCCCTATTCTAGATCAGTCTTCAAGTAGCTTCTCCTAACCACATCTGGGATCGTAGTCGTTGTCGCCTGGCACCTCGCATTCAGACGGGTCCGACTCGTAGTCACCCTCATCTTGCTGCCTCCGTTCCTCCTCGATATCCTGCTCGACAAGCCAAGCCATGTTAATGACTTGGCTGATAGATCGAACGAGTCCATCTTCCTCGGGATAAGGTATACTCCCGAGCTCACGAAGAGTACAACAGATCTCTCTGCCACTGTCTCCCAGGTCCAAACACTAAAACTTTCTAGGGCTGACCCTTCGGGACAAAACCGAAGAATCTTAACCTTGGTTCTGATACCAAACTTATGACACCCAATTCCAATCATACAATCGAACCGGCCAATGTCAAGATAACCGCCTGCGCTTAGAGCCAAACGCGTTACCTTCACTACAAGTCCCAGAATCCGAAGGCGCCTTGTTAAACAAACAACTCCACACCACATGCGATACTCAAGTATCTTGACTCACGTAACCTGCTAGAGGGGATCGAGAGAGAGAAGATAGGGTGGAGGGATAAGAAATTTAGATTACCGAGGAGAATGAACCTACATTATCCTATCAATACACCACAACTTAACAAACGCTAAGTTCAAGCCTAAAACAGCACCATAGAAAGTTCTAAAGGCTTCACACAATATCCTATCAGTCCTTAGGTAACGCCACTGTGAATATCCGGACCACACAATGATGACTTACACCCTGGCACTTGGGATGCATCCATTGTAGGAGTATAGTCGCTACAAGACTAGCGCATCGACCATGCCTTGGGAGTGCTAAGTACGTCTAGCCTCTCTTCCATACCATATGTGTATACGATGTTCCCTTTAAACAGCCCCATATGATGTCAGGTCTCGCATTACCCCTCCGCATTTTGCCACACACGGCTCACAACAATCACACACAGAATTCTCAACTCACGATATCAACTTATTGTCTCAACTTATCGTCTCGACACATCGTCTCAATCGTTCACCAAGAACAGATTCTCCACTCGGATCTATTTCCACACCATGTGATCTCACTCCTCATCTTGAATCACACATAGTCTCAATAATGATCTCACACAAGACTGTATTAAACACCTAACCTCTTAGCAACCAGGTGATCAAACAACAAACAAGTGGAACACACATCAATCAATCATATCAAACGTGATACACAAGAAAAGTTCGTTTTAATCTCCTGCAACTTCAGTTTCACAACCCTAAACACATCTAGGCGATCACACAATCAGCAGCAACCTAAACAAGACCTAGCTGGGACTCAGTTCTAAAGCAGAAAGTAGTTTGTGCTTGGTTTAACCCCAAACTATGCATTCAGAAAAGCATGACACACAATATTCAAGCACAAATTCATCCTCACCTAGGCCTAGGTGGCGAAGGAGGTGGCGAGGGGAGGTAAGGAGAAGGGACAGAAGCCAGGTTCCCCACGGCGGCAAGCCACGCCGGATTGAACCTCCTTCCGGGTTGGTTAAGCGGCAGCAACGGCGTGTAGCTTCGGGAAGACTCTGGCTCGTCATCGATGTGGAAGATCGGGGCGGTGCGGCTGGCTGGAGCAGCGATGGGTCCACCCCGAAGGTGGTGGACGCGAGGCTCATCGGCGGCGGCGGCTGGTGACGGCGTCCTGTCTGGGAAGGGGCTGAGCCTCCGCAGACAACCGCTGCAGGTGTCGGACGGCTGGGACAGTGGAGAAGGCAAACAGCATGACATCTCGGCGAAGAGAGAGAGAACTTAGCGGCCGGAAAAGAGAAGAGAAAAGAGTTCTAGGGTTCTCAGTTCTCTGGAAGTTTAGAATGAAGAAAAAGAATGGGAGAGGCTCTCTATTTATACCCAATGGGAGACTTGGATAAAAAGTAAAGATAACTACAAAAAAGAAAGGATAATTATGAACGAGAATATTCACAAATCGTTTTAGGAATAGGTTCATTAATATAACACTAAAAATGTAATATTATCCACACCAGGAATATTTATTTTCTCGAAAGAAAAATAAAATATAGAGAAATGGTTATTGGGCCTTAAACCGTCTTAGTTCGGGATTGAATTTTCCAAACGGGCCTGGTTTGAAAAACCGTGTCGTTACAATATTTTTATATAGAAAGAAATTAATAATATATTACTCAATAAGGTAGTAAATACTCTATATATTGAGAGTATGATATATTATCATAAGTATATAATTTTTAATATTTTAATATTATTGATTTTTGTTTTGGAATTTATGTTTGCTTCTATTACCATCTTATTTTATCTTCTAACTTTTTTAAAATTAATAAATATTATATCATACTCTTATACAGTCTTATTGTAGATCAAAAATTTGAGATCAGAAATAAAAACAATAATAAGATAAAAAAAATTATAATAAGATAAAACAAATATGAATAATAAGCATAAGTAAAAATAAAAATAAATCTCTATAGTTTTATTTTTTCGTAAAATTCTCGTCTTTTGTTTTAGAAAGTCATTTAACACTCTTAAGAATCAAATTTTATAATAAATCCACGTGCATGTCAAATTTTATAATGAACACATGCATGCAGGCCAACCATAAGAAATTTATTTTCTTCGTCAAACCAATTTCTCAATATTAGAAGAAAAGATGAGCAGAGAGTTACTAGAAATTGTTATAAAATATGATTTCATAAATTTATAACAAATACTTTTTTATATTTTTTATTGAAAAGGAAAATAATAATAGGTTATCTAATGTACTATAAATAGTTTCATGATAAAGTCAAATATTATATTTTGAGTTTTAAAAAAAGTTATTTGTAATTTTTGTTAATATTTAATATAATTTTTAATTTGAAATAATATATCATAAAATGTTGATAATAACAATTTTGATCAAATATAAAACGATAAAAATTGTTTTTGTTATTGTTGTTAAACGCCAAGAACTGCATCGTGTAAAAACACAACATGTGCAGAAAATATCAGAAAAACTAACCAACACCTAAATATTAGAATTCACTTATTTATAACCCATACTTGCATGCATAAATATACATATTTATTTCTTTTTTAAAATTCAACTATATATTATAAAAATATATATTATAAAACATATATTTTGTTATTTTCATTTACCACATCAAAGCCATATTTCAATTTTTTCACAAATATATGTGTGAATATAAATATTAATTGTATAAAAATCAAAGTCACATGCAAAGTTATCGTGTATGCATTTTCTTAACATCGATTACACTACAATTTTAATTTTTAGTTATTGGATAATTTGTATTTTAAAAAAAAAATTTATCTGTCCTAAAAGCGGTGATCAGTGGTATGCACAAATGTGCAGACCAACCATCTATCCGCTCTTAGGATAAGTAAAGATGGTAAAATCTATTTTTGTTAAATTAGCAATATGTCAATAAAAAACAAATACTTAAAATATATATATTGACAAGATTATATTGTGGAACGGAAAAATAAAACATAATACAGATAATATTCAAAACATATTATAAGAATTTAGTTATTATTTAATATAATTTTTATATTTGCAATTATATATCACTGTATTTGTCAAAAAAAAAAGTTTTAAAATAAATCAGTTTTAAAAAAGACAAAATGATATGAAATATTTGTATGATTGTTGTTAAATACTAACACTAAACATGAAGTTATGTATGAATGTGTTTAGATTTTGTTGTGTTTTGATGTTTGTAGTCCCTTCTTTATCACACTCTCTTGTGTTGTCTGCTGTCATAATCTTTGAGCTGTTTGTTATATGCAATGTATAACTAAAATATTGCCTCTTTCAGGTGTATGAACTAGTTCAACTGCTTTCAATCAGGTTGATATATGTATAAAAGTATCAATGCGTGGTTTTTTATGTGCAGCGCATACAATATACAAAAAGAAAGTCTGATTGTATAACTAAAGCTGACGGAACTTTCGTTCCGAAAGATAAGAAGAGGAAGAAAGAAGAGAAAGGTAACATTTTTTTAATATTTACTGCATTTTGTCTTTGAGAATGTTTGATTCAGTGATAAACCTCAAAGAGACTCAATGAAGAGGTCTTCCTCGGACAAGCTTAAGCGACATTGAAAGAATTAAAAATTTTCAACCCAACTTTCTAGGTTCTAAAGCGTGTTTGAAAATTGTTCCTGAATTTAAAGTTTATATTTTTTTGCAGGCTGAACGACTCTCACTTAGGAGTAGGATTCAAAAGAAAACTGCATATTCCCAAGAACTGGAAGAACAAGTAATGGACACAACTAATACTCCTCACTTTATCTCCTTTGCCCAGCCCTCTCTTCCCATGGACACACATTGGGAAGGTATATTTCTGATCCCCTTTATCTATGTACATGAACACTTTCTCCTCTGTTTTCTCTTATACTGGTTTACTAATTTTTCTATTGTCCATGCTTGCGTTGATCAAATTAGGAAACAGAGAATTCTGTTTTTTTGTCTGACACTCCAAGGAAGCAGATGGAGAAGCTAAATCCTTCCCCATAACTTACAAGTACGAAGAGGTTTCGGTATCCATTCTTGAATATTTAATGTGTATGATGATAGTATAAGACTTGTATAATGTTATGTAAGACTTATTTTTAATATTAATATAATACTTCCTTATTATGTTTGGTTGATTTGTGAAATATAAAAATTATATATAGATCTAATAGATTAATTATTACAAAAGAGGACTCAAATAAAATAAAATAATACATAACTTCAAAATAATAGAACAAAGCATATAACATGACATATTATAAAATATTTTACAGCACGAATACAAAACCATCAAAAGGTACATCATGGCACTCATGGCACTAAACAAGTGCTGGAAAAGACTATTCTATAGCAAATGATTATCGCTATAATAGGTTCATCTACCGTAGCATTCAGAAAACTGGTATAATATGTGGTATTATAGCTCTTCGTGTCATAGCGTTTATGATTACGCTACTAAATCCCTATAGTAGCTTTTTAGTGTGCTACAAATGCTCCAATTTGTTGTAGTGGCAACCTTTCTTCTTAAACTCAATAACGATTAAACCTAAATCAACGAAGTGTGCATTTTTAAGTTAACAAACCCATTCAAATATATCCAGATATATAAAATATTTTTTTTTCAACCCAACTAACTAAATCTTTCCATATACTTCATAGCAATTTTGAAAACTTAATTACCATTAAATCTTAATATCTCACCGTATCATCAACACCAAATTTCTATATGACGGAATGATATTGTTAACTCTCCTATCAAGTTAACAACCAATCCAAATACCATAAAATGGGTCATTATATTTGTTTAGATCTTGACGATATTCATTAAAACCTAATTATTATCATTCACTTCTCCTATAAATACTGTCATTCGCTTCTCTTATAAATACTACCATGCAAACTATCTAATCTTTAATGAATCTAAACACATAACGTTCTTTTCTATAGTAATTCATAAATATACAAAATGAGTTTTCTCATTGGTTTTACTAACTTTTACGATTTCAAGTCTTTCAAACAGCTTGGTGAGTCCGGTTTTAGCAGGGTTCACCAACTAGCCACAATTACAAAATAACTTTCACTTGAAAAAATTTTATCACTAAATGTAAAATTAGAAGAATCTATGAGTTTATCAAACTCGTGGATTTTGATATGAATTTAGGTAGTACTCTTAATTAATTCTTATTGATTGATAAATAATGTTTATTGATTATCATTTTTTTTATTATATACAGTGATAAATATATACCATGTTGTCTGTGTGGGAGATATGCCTACCACCTCTCTAAATCTGCCAAGAAGCAGATGATTCAATGGTTATATGTCTAATCAGATTTGCAAAAATTGGTTACTAAGTTTTTAAATTTTACAACCTTTTTAATCTTCTGGATTTCAATTACATCTTTTTTATCTTATACTTTATGACACTAATCACTAAATTGTTTAATATTTCAATAGATTTTTTTTTTATACTTCAAAAAAAAATGATTTGTTACTTTAGAGCTCTGACGTTTTTGAGGAGGATTGAATTGCATATCGAGAATTCTAGAAGATCACTTTTTGATTCTGTATTAGCAACATGATCATAAAACATAGCATCATAGCATCCATACTATTAAAAAAAGAGAATAATTATTTTGAAATGTCCAAAAACTGTCATGGTATTTAATCATTTTATTAAAAATAATTTTATCTTATCATTAAACTGTTAACAAATACATTAAATTAAATTAGTTTGTCAACAGATAATATCAATAATTATATCTAATACTAATAAAAATTAAATAAATTTATTTCGAAATTAATTTAAAATCTTTCATAATATCTTAACATAATTACCATATATATAGTATGAATAACTAATATAATTACATATATTATATTATAATTATTTTTTTCATTATTATGAAAAAAAAAATCACTAATTTAAAATATCTAAAAACTACTATAATATTTACTAAATGTGACAATTTATAGTCAATAATGAATATGTAATCATTATTTTCTGGTTACATATATATATACTATGAAAAATATATTATGTAAATAATTTTTTTCTTGGTTTGTTAATGATTTTTTTGTGGGAAATCATGGGTTTGAGAATTTGACAAACACAATTTTGTTGATTTTACAGGGTTTACAAGTTTTAGCGGGTTTTATAAGTTTTAGCGGAAAATATATTTTTTATGCGAAAATGCCAGTTTGACAAGAAATATGCTTTTGTAGGTTTAGCAGAAACACATGCTTTTAGAAATTTGGTCTTAATCACGATTTTGCAGATTTCGAGGAATTACAGGAAAACACGGGTTTGCAGAATGCGAATAACGCAATTTTGCTGATTTTATGGGTTATATGGGAATATGTAGTCATATGGGAAAATGCGGATTTGTGCATTTGGAAACTCGATTTTGTAGGTTTGGCAGAAACATATGAGTTTAGAAATTTGGTCGTAAAACACGCTTTTACGGATTTTATAATTTTACGGAAAACACGGGTTTGTGGATTATATGGGAAACATGATTTTGCGAGGTTTACATGTTTTAGCGGGTTTTATAGGTTTTGATGAAAATGTGGTTTTATGGATTTTATTGAAAATGCAGGATTGCGGGTTTGACGAGAAACGTAATTTTGCAGGTTTAACAAAAACACGTAATTTTAGAAATTTGTTCAAAGAATACGGTTTTATGGTGTTGAGGGAAACATAATTTTTGAATTTGTTAAAAAATGTGGGTTTACAGTTTTGGTAGGAAAATACAGTTTAAAGGAAAATACTATTTTTACAGTTTCTACGAGAATTCCTAATTTTGGTACAACAACGTGATTTTACGATTTTGCGGGGAAATGCAGCTTTTTATTTCTATAGAAAACTCTGATTTTATGGTTTTGACAAAAAATAACTTGATATTGTGGTTCAAATTAAAAAGTGTTTTGGTCTTTTAATTTTTGAGATTCAAATGCTATATCCAAACTCTATTTTTTAATATCTTAAATATACAAATTTTGAAATATTATAGATTTGTATCCAGGTAGAACATCTATATATTGATTTAAAGATATTTTAAAAAAATAATATTTGAGCATTTGCATCCAAATAAGCATCGGGATGCAAAAACAAACAAAACCGAAGTAAATATTGAAATCTTAATTACAAACAAAAAACGTAATATTTTAAAATATTTTTTATAAAACTTAACAGAAAATCCGCTAATCAAAATATTTTTTTATAAAATCAAGCATAAATAATTTTAAGAACATAAAACCAAAAATATAAAAATAGTTTATATAATCTAATAAAAAATTTGGTTTGGGCCACAATTCTGAATTTAATAATATAAGTTATATTTTTTTGAACAAAAAATTAATATAAACTAATTTTTGTTATAATCCAAAAATATTTTATTTGCGCGGGTCTAAAATCTAGTCATACATTTAAAAACAGAAAATGATAATCACCTTTATGTAAGCATTCCGTTATTGCATCTACTTTAGCTTGTGATCAATTATAGCATATGGCGGACCTGCAAATATTAGACAATATGATCAAAAGCTCATATCGGTATCATATGTCTTCAAATTTAATAATTTTTGTTAACAGTTTATAGAACCAAACTTTTTTTTGAAACTTATGATTTGAAAACTCCATGTAGTATCGTGTTCCTGCTCCTCCAACCATTCGAAGATATGTAATGCAAGCATAATCAGATGATGAAGTAAATTGATGCACTTTTATGAACATTATTAATTGACAACAATAAAAGTTATAATTTAATCTATTAAATGATTACCTTTATACTTTTATGGTATAGATGCATAATTATTATAGCGAAGATGAAAAATAAAATCATGCACATGGCGCAGGTCAAATAACTTTATACCTTTTCACAATTCTGTCTTTTATTATATATTTGTAAAAAACAGGAAACGATTAAGTTTCTTGGAATTATTAGAAATAGTTAAGTTTCCTGATAAATAGTTAAACGGAAAATAGAATTACATACTTTATTTATCTGAGACGTCACATGAATCATCGCTCGAATCTCTTCTTCTTAGATGATCAATGGTGAAACATCGAACAGCTTCTACATAAGCCTCTTTAATCGAGATAGTGATAAATCACCGAATTATTTGGCAAAAATGTGGCAAGGTTATTCTAAGATGATTAATGGTGAAACATTAATCAGCTTCTACATAAGCCTCTTGAATCGAGATAATGATAAATCACTGAATTGTTTGGCAAAGATGTTGGCAATCCTTGCCACAGAAGAGCTTCAGCTAGAAGATTTTTCCTTTATATGCAGTTTGATATTCATTCATCACTAAACAAACATCCCATCTTCGCAAAATCCAATGGCAAAAACAAAACTATATTTTTCTTTTATGTTCACTCTTAGTCAAGATACCTAGATGGAGCTAAAAGATGATGAATCTATTACTAATAAAAATTGATGCTAAATGCATTTAAGGTTGTCCACATAGGATTTCAAGATTCAATTCTATTGGTACAGATCATCATTATTTTTAATTAATTATATATTGTATATTAAAATTAATTAATTTGTTTTAATTTTTATAAGGAAAATTTCTAAATTTTAATTAATTCTGTTTTTGTTGTTATTAGGAAAGTTTCTAAAATTTAAGTTAGTTATTAATAAAAAAAGTTTTGAAAATAGATCTTATTTTTTTATTAACAATAAAAAAGTAAATTAACATATAAATAGATTATGAAAGAAAAAATTATATATATTAAGCAAAATTATTAAAAACTATATTTAAGACCATAATTAAATTATTTTAAAATTTTAATCATGACAAACAATTTAAATCATGACAAACAATTTAAATCTGAATTGCTACTTAAAATATATTAGTTATGGTCTATATTGATGTCTTAGGCCAATGAGAGCGTCCACATATGATATATATACTCAATCTGATTAGTCTATATAAGCGTTTTTCATCAAACATAAAAAATAAAAAAAGTTATTAATAGTTTAAATAAATTAAAACATACAAAAATATAAAATTATCCCAATAGAATAGAAAATTAAGATAATTTTTTTAACTAAATAAAATAAATTTATGTCAAAAGTCTAAATCTAGTGTGAAAATAAAATAGAAACTCATTGTC